TTGCCCTGGACCCTCGCTGCAAAGGAATGCCCCTCTCCAGCTTCCTCCTGAAACCCATGCAAAGGATAACACGCTACCCCCTGCTCATAAAGAGTGTGAGTACCCCAAGTGAGGTTTTGTAGGTGAACACTTTGAGTTTGATCTCCATAGCAAAAGCCAAGATAAAGGCTTGTCCCTTTATGGGGATTGCTCTGACAGGATTACCTCTGTTTTTACCTTGCTTTCTCCCCTCTTTGATCCACACCAGATTCTAGAAAACACTCCAGAGAACCACCTGGATCACAGTAGCCTCCGGCTCGCCCTGGAGCGTGCAGAGGAGTTGTGCTCCCAGGTGAACGAGGGCGTGCGGGAGAAGGAGAACTCGGACAGGCTGGAATGGATCCAGGCCCACGTCCAGTGTGAAGGCCTTGCTGAGGTACCTGCACTGATGCTCTGCAGGGCTGGGGCTTTTCAGAGTCATTTCAGCAAGGCTGGGGAGGGAGTCCTTGCTGACATCCCTTATTGGAACGTGATCCACTGCTGAGCTCTAGGCAGGGAAGCTTTTACTGAATTCTAGTCACAGCCATAACGTGATGAACCAATGTTTTTGCATGACTGTAGTGGCAGAGAAATCTTGATTTATCAGCTTAAAATGGTATCAGCTGGTATCAGCTGGTACCATTTAGACCATTAAACAGACAGAAATAACTCTTCTCTCTGAACTCCTGATCATGCTGCCACTGGGCTAAGTCAGGTGTTACTTAGGAGGATTTCACTTAGTGTGTGTTTCCCAGGGTTTTCCTTCAAGCAGGCAGGGAATAGCAGTCCTCAGTGCCAGATCCTCAAGGATATGTGGTGTTCAGGCTCCTGTACCTTTCAGGACAGCCTTCAAACTGAGGTGTGTGTGACAGTTCTCCACTGCATAAGGAACCAGGGCTTGACAGCCCCAGAAGGTCTGTCCTGTTCCATCACCTCATCAGCTGTAAGAGGTGACCTGACTGCAGCCTGTGCAGCCTCTTCTCAAACACAGAAGGGGCCATGCAGTAAATGCCTCCATCTGGTCATCTCTTTGTGTGTTTTTGGTAAAGATTAAATCTTCTCTGAGGTGGGAGTTGTGCTGTGGCCACAGCTGATCACAGAACAGTTCCCTTCTCTTCATTTATAATGGAATTCATTAAAATTAAAGAAGAGCATTTTCAGCAGCTTGGTCAATCTCCACAGTGAAGAGGAGCAGGAGCTGATGTCTGCACAGACTTGCTGCTGCTAATGGGTTTTGTCTCTTCCCAGCAACCTGTGTTCAACTCCCTCACAAACTGCTTGGGACCACGGAAGCTCCTGCACAGTGGGAAGCTGTACAAGGCCAAAAGCAGTAAGGAGCTGTATGGATTCCTTTTCAATGACTTCCTGCTGCTCACCTACATGGTTAAACAGTTTGTGTCTTCTGGATCCGATAAACTGTTCAGCCCAAAATCCAACTCCCAGTTCAAAATGTACAAAATGGTGAGTGAGTCAAGGTGTTCCAAGTGTTGGTACAGTGGGTCCTGGCTTCTGATGAGGAATGCTGCTCTCCCACTGGCATTAGCTGTGTGCCCCTTTTGCTGTCACACAGGCACGTTCTGGCAAACAACATGCACAAATGATGTTGGCTTAGTACTTGGAAAAGGACAGACTTCTGCATCTTGTTTTAACTAACAATTCCATCCACTTTGGGGGAAGGGGCAGAAGTAGCATCATGCCTGAACAGCTGAGTGGGATGTTCAGAAGCAGGAGCCTTGACTTCAATTTGCACAGGTTCCTGCATCCACAAGAAAATTCCTGTCCTTCAGAAAATAGTAGAAGATGCAAAATTTTAGTCTCTGTGCCCACACACTGTGTGTTCTGAAGATTCTGAAACTGGAGACATAAGCTTAAGTATCAGGGCTGCTTTCCCACAGAGAACCTGAGAGATTCCTGGATTTCGGAGCTCCAGACTGCAGCTCTGCTTGCACACTCCTTCCCCTTTCACAAAGCTCTTTGCCTAGGAAAGCAGAATGGGGTGAATTGCCAGAGAAGTTTTTCTCTCAGCCCTTTCTTGCATCCTTTACATGGTGATCTCATTGTCCTGTGTCCTTGACTTCCATTTTCCCTACAGTAAAACAGTGTATTTAAACATGCATATAGAGTTTCTGCCTATTGTCAGGGGGTGATGCTGCCATGGTGACATTTGCTGTTCTTTCAGCCGGTTTTCCTTAATGAAGTCCTCGTGAAGCTGCCCACAGACCCTTCAAGTGATGAGCCAGTTTTTCACATATCACACATTGACAGAGTTTACACACTTAAAACTGACAACATTAATGAGCGGTGAGTAGTGAAAATGCAAATCTGAGCTTAAACTTGTTCATTGATGCTGCAGGCTATGTTTCCAGTGAGCTGACACAGGGACTCTGAGCTCAGGAACAGAGCTGTCTCTTGGTCAGGAAATAAACTCACTTGACTCCCATTTGAATGAGAAGTTTTCTCTGATTTTGCTCTGCTTCTGCAGCAGCTCTTGCAGTATTCCAGCCCCATCTGCTGCTCCTTGATGTTTCAGTTGTATCGAAGAACAGTTTAGGGCTGCAAAATCCAGCATCCCATAGGACCCTTCCCCAGTCCTGTGCAGTCTTTAATGTGACCCAGCAGTCTTTAATAAAACAGCAGCTCCATGTCCATTTATTGAGGCTGATTTGGCATAAGATTAAGTCAAAAAACTCCATCACCTTAGTCCATGAACTGACTTGATTTGTGATGCCTCTAAAATTTAGGGAGGGGAGAATGAGGAGGGAGAGTGTACAGTCACTGAAGATTTTGCTGCCTGTAGGATGACCCTGACTGTAGGGATTGCTCTTTGCAGAACTGCCTGGGTCCAGAAAATCAAAGCGGCGTCAGAGCAGTACATTGAAACGGAGAAGAGGAAACGTGAAAAGGCTTATCAAGGTACCCACCGAGTTCTGTGTTTCCCTCTGTCCACCTGGATACAGGGGCAGGCCATTTCCTGGAGGATGCCAGTGTCTCCTTCAGATCTGTTACCAGTTCTTACAGTTCCAACCAGTCTGTTTATTTCTGACCTCTTTGTTCCCAGCTCGTTCACAGAAAACCTCAGGAATAGGACGCTTGATGGTGCACGTGATTGAAGCAACGGAACTAAAGGCCTGTAAGCCCAATGGTAAGTGAGGGAAAGTCTCAGAGCACTTTTATTCCTGTAACATTTGGAAAGGCTTGCTGAGAGGAGTTGGTCATTTGGGAATCCCTGTGGTTTGTCTACAGTTTCTGTATGAAATAGCCATTCTTTAGCTTCAGAGGACAGAGTGAAGAACCAGCTCTGTGCTGCTCTGGGATACAGGATTGCCTGATCCACATCATCTGGCAGCAGCATTGATGTGTGTCCAGGCAGGCTGCAGATGGAGGGGGAGCTTCTGCACTGCAGAGGGGTTTCACTCTGTGTTTTGTGTTTAGGGAAGAGCAACCCATACTGTGAGATCAGCATGGGCTCACAGAGCTACACTACCAGGACCCTGCAGGACACCCTGAATCCCAAGTGGAACTTCAACTGCCAGTTCTTCATCAAGGATCTCTATCAGGATGTCCTGTGTATCACCATGTTTGACAGGGATCAGTTCTCACCTGATGGTAAGTGTGAGTATTTAGACAAAGAATGCTTTTTTGTTAGCTGGGCTACCCAGTTCCTCAGCAGCAGTTTCAAGAGCCTGTAGGTCTGACTGCTGCCTGAGAAATGTTAGGTGAAAACAATGCCTCAGTACTCAGGAGGTTCAACAGCCTTCCAGAGCCAGTAACTCCAGGCAGTCAGATTTGATCCCAATCTGGCTTTTGTATCAGACACAGAATTATTTTCTTGTCAGACTGAGGAGACAGACAAGTTGAAAGCAGAAGTTCTACTCACAATAGGTGCTCAAAAATAAGGTCCTGGGTTATATTTTCCACAGCAACAGCTTGATCAGCTTTCTTGTTGCTTGGAAACTGAGCACGTTTTTGGCAGTCAGTTGCTTCTCATATTCTCTAAAAGGTTAAGTGCTTTTTCAGGGCTCTGACACACAGTCAATTATTGCAAATTTGCAGGGAGCTGCCTTGACCTGAGATGCCTTGTGTGTAACCATAGCTCAGTCTTTTCTCCTGTGGGTTAATGTGAGTCTGGCTGGACAGCTGAGTCTCGTTTTTCAGTCCACAGTGAACCTTTTAATGCACACACACACAAAGATGTCATGTAAGAAATAGCCACACAGGTCTATCATTCCTGAATAGGACTTGAAACCTACTAGAAGGGGTAATTGTTGAAGATTGTTCTAGTAAAAAGCATGATATATAGGCATAATTAAAAGTTGGCTGAGCCAAAATATTTGATTTTTTTACTGCCTTTGAGCACCTCAGCTGATTTGCAAACAAGTTCCATCAGTGTTAGCTGACCAGCCAGCTCTGAAATTGAACACTTGAAATTGTGTTTCTGAAAGGGTATTTTCTAAGAGTATTTTTAAAGCACTTAGCTCAAACCATGACATCCTCATTCCACAGCATTGTTCTCTTCTGAAAAGGCCCCTTTTTGTCACTGCTGGCTGGTTTACACAGGGCTGGGGTCCAATCCAACTGGAAGCCTGGGAGCAGTGCTCTGGAAGTGAGCATGTACCCCACAACATTGCATTAACCTGCCTCACTCAGATTTTCTATGGTCAATATCTTCGCTTAATGAAATTTCTAATTCCTTTGCCCAACAGATTTTTTGGGTCGCACTGAAGTTCCAGTAGCAAAAATCAGAACAGAACAAGAAAGCAAAGGCCCCACAACTAAACACTTACTGCTGCATGAAGTTCCGACAGGAGAAGTGTGGGTGCGCTTTGACCTGCAGCTCTTTGATCAGAAAACACTCCTCTAAGAAGACTTTTTATAATTCATGAAGGACAACTAAAGCTAAGAGCCTGAACGTGTTTTGGTAAAAGATTCCTTGTCCCACGCTGGTTATTAAGCAAGAATTCCTGCTGCTTCTTTATTTCCTCTTAGTTCCTGGTTGTGCTTAGTTCCTTGCAGTGTTCCAAGTTGATGTTGATCTATGCAAACACAAATGTTACTGTAAATACAGTACTATAGCTCAGTGCCTTTTTATTATTTTGGAATATCTTGGGTTTGGATGCCAATGTTTCCATTATCAGGGCCATAAAAAGTATTATATAGAAATGTGGCACCAAGCTGTTTGTATATTTTACCACTTAGTCTGACAGACAGACTGAGGAATGGTTTAAGCTCAGCACTAGAATCATTCCATTTGAAATCTTACAAGTGATATCCACTGGAATTTTCCCATCTCAGGATGATCGTTTTAACGGTTAAATGCTGAAGAAGCCTTAGCACTGGAGAAGTCTCCAATATATTGTATATTCTTTTAAGAATCAAGCGTAGTTCTTTACTTGACTTTAGTTCTGCACTGGAATCAGTAACTGCTACTTGATTTTTCTTTCTGCTTCAGTTTGATTTATCGTTCTCTGCTGAGACAATGTGGTTGTGAAGAATAGCTAGAAAAAATATTTTAAATACTGTGACCCACAACAATGTGGCAAAATGTTCTTCAGCTCTTTGGGTTTTTTCCTAAGTTATTTGTGTACATTTCCTTGGTCTGCAGACCTCCATGTGAATCTTGAAGCTTTGACATTGCCAACATGTATATAGAGAGTAAAATATAAGTTTATGAATTTGTCTACAGATGTTTATTGATGCATAGTGATTTTAAAAAAGTATATTTTATTGTATAGGGGAATGTGAAATAATGAGAAAAACTTATAGGATTTGTTCAAGGAAAGTTTATCACAAGTTTAAAAGGTTTGCTCTGGGGAGCTGTCACCCCAATATAAACTGTAACATGAACTGGTTGAAATGAAAGCAAAAAACTTGCTCTTGGCACCAAATCAGGGATGGTTTAAAAAAAAAAAAAGAAAGTTTGTTTATAAATATTTGTTACATTGCAACCATTCTATTTCCTCCTTTAAACTGCTTTGTTGCAGAAGCACAGCATGCAGTTCTGAGCAGCCTGTGCCCTTGTTTTCCACGGGTGCAGAAATTCCTCCTGAAGTCTGGCAGTTTCCCACCCAGTCGCCATCTGTGCACCCTCCTATTACCGAGGCAACCTCTGTTACATTTAACAGTTTTCTGTGGTTCAGTATTTCTAATCCTAAATAAAACTCAACTCTTGGCAACTTGAGAGATTGTGTCTGTACAACGGGAGTTTGGAGGACAGAGAAAATTCTGTTTCCAGGCTTTGAGCCCAGAGCTGCTGAGCAGCTGCAGCAGCAGGGAGATGGGACTGCACTGGCACAGGAGAGGGTCGGGTCTGAGGGCACTGGCAGCAGCTGCTGCTCAGCACCAGCTCTCCAGAAAGCGCCAGATGTTTTGAACACCACTTCCCAACTCCCCTCCCCTACTTATTTCCTGCCTTCTCAAAACACCTACGACGTATGTTAAAATTTGATTTACTGCTTGAACACTGTCTCCAGGAGAGAACACCAGCACTGTCTTTATTGACAGCTTTATCTCAGCACAAGTTAAACCTCCTAAAATAGGAGGTTTTGGCTTGTAGAGCATTGAAGTGGATCTGGCAAGAAGAGGCCCAGCATGTCAGACATTTCTTTGGCTGCTGGGTAACAACATTTCAGAACTACATGTTTAAGACAGTAAGTTTATTGCAGTTTGCCCAAAGACCTGCCTGGCCTGTTCTCACTTGCTTTGGCAGTGCATGTAACCTATTTTGTAAAGGGTACCTTTGATGGCTGTACTTGCTGCTGTGGTCAGCTGGAGTATAGGTGACATCATTGGCTCTCTCTGTGATTGTGCTCGTTGATGAATTCCACCCTTTAAAGAGAAGGAAAAGCTGTTGCCATGCTTCTGTAAAGATAGCTGAGCTGTCAGATTATTTCCTTCTACACAGCACACACTAAGCTTGCCTGGGAACTCTCCAGCTTTTTTTTGACAGGACATCCCCCTGTGCTGCTACAATGGATTTGAAATGAGGAAAACAAACCTCCCCCTGCCATTGCTACTGTGCCTCAAAAACTGGGCTTAGTATAGATCCAGACTGTGTTCCTGGTGAAAACCATGTTCAAACACTCTTGGGCTTAAATGCAGTAGGAGTGAGTTAGTAAAACTAGAACATGCTTCCCTAGAGCAGCACATCAGTAACATGCTCTGTTAACCCCCTGCTGATCAAAGTGGGATTCCAAACCTGCTGACACCTTCCAGCAGTCTGTGCAGGTCTTCTGGAAGAATGGATCATACTCTGATGGGTCATAATCATCCAAAAACACATAGCCCTGTGGGAGAACAGGTACTGGGTCAGGTCTCAGAAGCTATTGGTGGTTACAACACTGAGAGCAGCCAGCCTGGGTGGAACAGAGCCAGCACAGCATAACACAGCACCAGAGGTGGTTGAAATCTGCAAATTCTGTGAAAAAAGAACTCCCAACTTTCATACACTGCACCTCAGAAAGAAAGTGACTGAACTGTAACAGGAAAATTCCTCCATCCATTTTAATTTATCACAGGTATAAATACATAACAAGTGATTTCATGAAGCATCCAGAAATAAGGATAGGCTAAAATGCTATCCTTAACTAGGACAGTCAAGACAATGGAATTTTTTTTTTTTATTGGAAAATGTTTTTCCAGAGAAGGAAGCCCTGATTGGCTCAGTTTGTCAGAGCATGGTGCTAATAACTCCAAGGTCATAGGTTTGATCCCAGAATGGGCCACTCACTTAAGAGTTGGGCATCATGATCCTTCTGGGTCCCTTCCAAGTCAAAATATTCTGTGATGTCAGCAAAACAGATATTAAAAATAAAAGAAAAACCAGCCACAGCCTTAGGCAGGTCACTGATCTGCAAGGTACCAGCTCCATGTCTGGCTTCATGAGCTGGCTTTTCCATCTATACACAGGAATAAAGACCTGAACCCACACTTCATGGTCTAGGCTACAGCTCCATCTCATCAACAACGCTGCCACAAGTGAAGGAGAAGGCTGACAGCAGGAAAGAGAGCAAAAGAAAATGGGCAAAAAGAAGGGAGGGAAGGGAAAACACGTCCAGAATTAACAACATTAACTAATCCACACAAGTGTCTCAAGTTCTGCAAAATTTATCATATGCTGCCACAGTTAACACAAACATGCAAATAACGTGTCCTGTAAATACGAAGGGCCTCAGCCTGCTTTTCAGACATTCTGACACCACAGAGCAAGGAGAAAAGGTAGAAGCTGACCACTGATGCTGCTGCTCCCTTTCAGACAGCAGGACACATCCCAGTACATCAGCCATTGCTTCTGGAGGGCACCCAGCAAATTCCTGACCTGGCACAGCAGCTTGCAAGATGGACTGATGCAGACCTAGATATGCAGAGTACCCCCAACACAGCCTAAATCCCAGGACTTCAGCAGCAGGACTGGTTCAGTTCTTTGTCATTCCATGCAGTTTAACTGCATGGGTCTGTCACATCAGGCCTTTGAAAAAGATAGTTTGGTCTCTTTAAAACAACACAGCTCCCATGGTATTTTCATTTCTGGATAAGTAGGTTGTTTACAGTCTCACAACTCCACTGTGCAGTGGTTTCTACTGACAACAACTGCCTGCTCTCATAAACTATTATTTTTGTGGCAGATTACATAACTGCTTTTATTTTTCTCTTTTTTTCATTCCTGAGATGCAGAAAGATTAGTTGTGGGATCTGATATTCAAGAGTGGTGTCAAATTAAGAGCAAAACGAAGAAAACTAACAAGTATTTTCTACAGTGACTGAAATTTGCAATTTTTGTGAATACTGACACACACCGAACTACAAAATCCATGAGCTGGGTTCATTACCTGTCTTCAGACTTAACAAAATTGTTTGTATCTCCCTGTTCCCATATTTTTAAGCTTGATCAGTAGCATCCAAGGCCACAAAATCATTTCGCTCATGCTCTACCAACAGAGTTGCAGTACTGCTGTAGCTAACTCCTGAGACTTGAGAGTGCAGCCCCCATCCTGCTCACTCAGCCTTTGGTTTGAGCTGACAGAGCTCAAGGTTTTCCCACTAAATGGTCCAGCCCACAGAGGCAAACACACCTCAGCAGGGTGTCTCACCATATTCAGACCCCAGCAAGTGTTCACTACACCAAGCAATGCTGCTGTTCATAGCTGCTGGTGAATGTACACAGTTGTAACATTACAGAAGTCCTTGGGAAAAGTAAGTTACAGGCAAGGTATATCTGAAGTCCAGGTTGCTCAACAAACAGGGAATAACAGCTAAACCCCTCAACTTGTCCACAACCCTCTGGATACTACCCCCTCCATGACAGAAATGTGTTTCTCATTGATACCTTCTTTGTACAGTAGTTTAAATATTGAGAGAATTGTTCTCGTCTTCTTTTCCATACTTCTTTCTCTGACTGGCTGTCCATTTGGTCCTTAATTTTCTGCATAACTGGCTCTGAAATATTCTCAAGATATTTTTTGTAGAGAAGCTCTGTCTTTCTCAGCTCTAGGAAATCAGTGTGCTTCAAATATCTGTCCACCTCCTTAAGTAAGAAATGAAAAATAAAAACCATAGAAACTATTGTCAATGACAGTAAAGATTCCACATGTAAAGTTTGCAGCTTGGCTGACCTGACTGCTCACTGTTCCAAGGCATCTATTTTCCAGCCCTTCCTTCTGCTCCTCCTTCTCTCCACTTCCCACCACTTATTTCCAAGCTTGCCCTTCCTTTCAAGAGCTCTGGCATTCAGACCCTTAATTTTTGAAGCTGTGGTGCAAATTTGGCAGAAAATTACTCACTTTTTCCCATCAGGTTATTGAGCTGAAGTCACTGCAGAGCAGGGGGCTGCAAGCACCAGACTGTGCAAGACAGGCAGCAGAAGGACCCTCCCTGCAGCACTGGCAATCTGCTGGATCAGGTCAGAGCAGCCCTCCTGCCCTTTGCTCACAGCACCACTGTCACAAATTATCACACCCACAGGACAAAAATTAGTGCAAACAGGCAGTTTAAGTCACCTGGGATTCACATTTAGGGTTACTACTTCAGTCCTATCCAGAGTAGACTGAAAAGATCAGAAACTCACAACTCTAAATTAGTTTTTCAAGAATACAAGCAATTAACATTTTCTCATGAATCACTGATTAGGAACTAAAAATACTGACACGCAGGAAAGCACACAGCAAATGAAAAAAGAGCACAGTTCTTACCCTCACAAAATTTTCTCTGTCCAAGATGCACTGAGCAGAAGCAATGATGTCTCGGCTTTGATCAGGTGCTGCCTAACAAAACATGAAAAATAGCCCACATGAGGTGAAAGCAGGACTTAGAGCAGGAGTCAGATTTACTTTTGAATTCAAAATAATTACCAGTGTCGTAATTAAGGGCACATTATACCACAACCCAGCTGGCAAATCCTTGCCAAATTTGCTCTGAACAGTTGGGTTAAGTAGCAACAGAAGAGTGTTGGAAGAACTGCAATGAGAACTGGAATGTAGATGCTCAGACCTCCTTGGCTGCTCCTCACCACGACCAAACACCACTTCCTCCTTGCCACTGTTTCTCACCTGTGCCAAACACGTGGCTCTTTAACTCCTGCACTCCAGACAAGGAGTACAGGCAACGCACACCAAATCTATCATTTGGGGATGGAATGCATTTTATGTATAGAATGGAATATTAGCCTGCTACTCCCTGTGCTTAATATTGATTTTTAATTCCAATTGACAGTGTAGTTTTCAGTCATGTCTGCCTTGGCCCTGCTGACCAGCTCCATGCTCCTAAAGGTTTATTACACTAAGGTGAGCAGGACATCACACACCAGAGCAGGCAAGGAAGAGACAAGAAGTACTAAAAATTCCACCAAAAACAAATGAGAAAGAGGAAATCTAAATTTCTGGCATGTTTCAAGACCCTTACATCCTACTATTTGAAACAAGTGATATGTTGTATTATGCCTGATGAATTTACTTCACCTTGTCACAGATGCTTTTTAAAGCTGTAAGAGCAGCACAAAGACATGGCCATCATTCCATCTAAGAACCATCACTGCTGAACAGGAAAAGAGCTCTCCTTCAGGATGATACATATGTGAAAAATCCTTAAGAACCAAAGGAGTTGGATGTCCTTTGACTGATGGAATGAAGTCCCTTTTCCTGGATAAGGGCAGGCCCAGGGGCAGCCTCATCACAGTACTACTTACAGAGCAGCTGCAAAGAGGATAGAAGCTCTCACTTCACCAGAAGCCACAGCAAGAGGTACAAGTTGCATTGGCAGATGTTTCATCTCAATGTAAGAAATAAATTTTTACAGTGAGATCAATCACTCACTGAACAACCTCCCCAGGGATGTGGTGGACTCCCCATCACTGAAGGTTTTCAAGGTGCAATTGCACAGGGAGCTGGATCCCCTCATCTGCTGTCTCCTTCCCATGAAAAGCTGGGTGAGATGATCTTTCAAGGTCCCTTCCAGCCTGGGCTGTTCCATGAGTCTGTGATTCTAACTAGTCACAAGCTTGTTTCAGGTTTTATGGGAAACTTTTCCACATACCAAACTGCAAGTAAGTTAATAAAGCTGCCTCAAAAGGATGCAAGTGCTCAATAAAACCCATTGAATCTGTTGCTATTTTTAGAATTCTTTGTTCTCCTTCTCCATGACAAACATCTCCCAGATTTTACTGAACTTTGAATATAACAATTTTTCATTCTTCCCTTCATAATTTCTATGTAATTCCTCCCTCACACCTTTACACAACAGACCACCTTTATTCTGTGTTAGCCAATCTTTGGCAATATTCCTTCCCAAAATGTCTGCTGCAATCAAAATTATTGGCTGTGCCTCTCTGCTGGTGCTGAGGAAAACCTCTGGATAAATGTAAAGAAAGCAAAAGATCTGCATAAAAGGACAACCTGTTTTACAAAGATCAGGTTCTAATCCAAGTTCCACAACCAAGGCACAAACTGGGATGGAATGGTAGGAATTAATACAACTGCAACACCCATTTGTGAGTGTCCTGTGGAGGAACAGACTGAAGCACAAAGCTCCTGCTCAGGGCTCACAGATGACTTCAGGCACGTGCCAGGCATGGAAGTCTGGGAGCACAGACCAGAAAACACTGTCAGGATTTCAGTGGGACTGGGTGGCCAGTTCCAGCACAGGACCCCATTACACACCTGGGTCCCAGGTACAGATACTGCTCTCTGTGTTGCTCAGAGCAGAACCTACAGCTGAAGGAATGCTGGGGATCACTCACCCTCCAAGGCTTTTGCCGCTTGGGTCTTCTCGCAGGTTTCCCATTTGCAAATCTTTGTAGCCAGGGACCTTCTGAGTTATTCACACTACCCATGGCTGGATTGGTCTGGGAAAAACAATAAAACCATCAAAACCCATAAAAAATATTGTACTAAGAGCAAAATCTAAATTTTCTTACAATTCCTACTGAGCAGTGAAACAGATCTCTAAAGGACTTCTAATGCTGATACCTGCAGCATTTTCCTGTCACAGTAAGTAAAACACAGAGATGAAGTACCAGGTTTACAATCAGATACTGCCTCTGTGGAACCATCTGTCCTCATCTCCACACACCATGGATAGTACATTTTGTTTCAAAGAACAGTGATTGACAAATTATTTGAAAATGCCTGTCAGCTTTGGAAACATTTCAGAGTTATCAAATTTCACCTCCAGACTATTACTTCTTTCCTTTTTCAATCAGATAAAATTCCTTCCAAGTAACTGCCACACCCCACTATGGCTACATTTTATTGGTTTTTAAAGTTAGTTCCACCAGATGAAGCTTATGCTGAAGTGCTAACTCAGCTCCACTCAGAAGATTCCATCTTCTCTCTTGTATGTGCATCAGGATATCTGGATTGATTTATAACAGAGACAGTGGAACCACAGAGGCAAAATGCTCTTTACAGGAACCTCCATTTAAACCCCTGTTTATCTCAGATTCACTGGAGACACACTGCTTCCAGGAAACAACAGACTCACAACATTAGTCTTGTAAAGAATGGAACAAAAGAAAAGCTTATTTCTACAGAGATACTGATCCCAAGTCTTCAGACAGATCTTTCAGTTATTAAAAAAAAATAAAATCTGATATTCAATTATTTTTTGCAATATCTAGTTACAAGAATCTGACAAGACTCTCAGGTATTCACAGAAGATAACTTTTTTTTGGTAGAAGACAACACTTAAGAGTTTATTCTGTCCAATCCAGCACTTTAGTGACAATATCTGACTCCCAGCTTACCTCTCTGGAGTGCAGATTCAAATTTCTTACCATCAATTCAAGGTAAAGTCTGTAATCTACATCTCTATTTGTTTCATTTTATATTCCCTTTTCATTTTATATTCTGTACCATGACAAAAACATTTGCTGGGAAATTCCCCCATTCTCACAGCAATGTTTTCCTTTCTTTTCTGACTGAAAGAGTCAGAAATCAGAGGAGAGCATATGTTGGAAGGGACTTGAGGAAGTCACCTGGTCCTGTCGCCTTTTTCCCAAACTGGAAATGAAACTCAAGATAACTTTAGTAAGGAGGTAATATAAAAGGGGATCTTTATTTGAAGGCTTTCAGAGGCAGGTATGGAAAGATGTCCACACACAAGCCCACCCCCTCCCAGGGGTGAGCACACTTTTATAGGTTTTAGGAAATTAACATAATTGATAAAAAGCACCAATTAGGAGGACAAGTGGTGATGCAATTCCCCCCAGGGCCAAGCCCCTTCTCTGGAGCCCCCCCTTCAGCACTAGTTGTACTTTGTCCATGAGCATGTACCACAAAGAGTTGTTCTCAGCCTTGGTTCCCAGGAAGAGCCAAGACAGGACAGGGGCCTTGTACCTCCTGGGGCTTGGAGCTCTGGAATTTGTTTTATCTTTCTGCTTAGGAAAAGGCCCTGGAGAAGTACTGGGAAAACTAGGTACTAATACAGAGTGACAGAGTTACAAATACATCTGTGAAGAATACAGAGAACATATAAAAGAAAGAAAAGGCAAAACCCAAATGACATCAGTCTCAGTGCCAGCTCGAAGAAAAGCAAATGTCACAGAACCAATTTCTGATACAAAACTAACAGGCAAACAGCCAGGGCTGAAAAGATTTGGGTACCTGACATGCTATAGATTTGACATTAGAAAAATCCAACCCGCCTTCCTAGGAGCAATATATCCTCCATACATGCCCAGGTGCCACAGGCTCCTGTGTCATGCCACCATTTACGGATTTCCTCCAACTCCAAGCAGTCCATTCTCCTCACAAAGACAGACTGAGCACAAAGCAGAGGAGCTTGACCTCCTCAGAGTTGGGATGCCAGGGTAGATAAACAGAACAAACACAGAGAATGTGCCTGTGTAGCAATCTGCCTCCAGGAACCCACAAGTGCTAAAGACTCTAGCAGATTTCCCCCCACAACCAATCTTCGCAACTCAAGCTTCCACTGAATCTTAATCCTTCCTTTTTCTGCTTTTTTGGGACTCTTGCTGAGAGAAGCCAACACTCTTCTCTGCAAAGGCAGGGCTCACTGATATGAGACAGCAGCTGTTTTGCAGCTCTTGAAACTACAGATTTAATCACAGACAGAAATAGAGTATTTCCAGAATCAGAGTGGATAAAACAAGCATTTAGTCAATCTAGTGGTTGCAGTCTGCAGATGCCAAATCCCATGAGCAGGTTGGCTGTCCTGTATCAGGACGTTTGTTTGACTGTGCCAGATCCCTGGAAGTGTCCAAAGCCAGGCTGGATGGGGCTTGGAGCAACCTGGTCTAGGGGAAGGTGTCCCTGCCCATGGCAGGGAGTTGGAACTAGATGATCTTTAGGGACCTTTCCAACCCAAACCATTCTGTGATGATTAAACCTGAGAATAGCCTAAAAATCTTTGCTAGATAAACAAGCATCCTTCTGTGCTGTCAGCAGTGCAACTCTGTATCAGTAAGTTTCAAAGCCAGGTTTCTCTTCTCAGTAAAACGAGGTTCTTCCCCCAACACCCATCTGCTAAAATTTACACTCTCTGTGCCCAAACACGAGGCTTTGCAGCAGTTTGAGGAAACACATTTTAATCACTCTGTGACAAATATAAGCACCCTCTATATGCCCCAATCCTCTCAAAACCCCGTTCAGCCACGCAGGCTCACGAGTCACTGCACGGATGTCCCTCTGCACAAGCACAGCTTTTACTGACGCCTTGGCCCCCTCGCCTTGCCGCAGGTGAACGGAGAGAACGAGTCTCTAGTGCGAGCAGGGCAGCTCTGCGAACAGAACCTTTTACAGTGTGAATGCTGAGCTAACACGTAACGCGGGTAGGCCCGGAGGGTCCTGGCCTGGCCCTGCACTTGGGAGGCAGCGATGAGACAAAGGCCGGCGAAAGGGAAAGGCTGAGAGCCCTGGGCCCGGCTCGCCCCGCACCCTGCCCGGCCCTGGGGCGGGTCCCGCAGGCCCCAGGGAAGAGCAGGTGGCCAGCAAAGACCCACACATTCCACCCCCGTGCCGGGGTCCCGCACTGGGGCGGTGAACACAGCCCCAGAACCCCCAGGAGCCGCGGCATAGCGGCTATAAGAAAAGCGCAGCCCCGCTGAGGGGAAAATGGCGGCGCGGCGCGCCTTGCTCGCACCTCACATCAGTCGCACCGCCCCTCCGTGACTGAAAAAAAAAAAATAGTCCATCACACACAGCCTCTCAGTTTGAGGGTACGCCGCCCGTGGAAACAGGAACCCGGCTACCGGTGGGGATAGGGCACAGAAACCTGTGGGGATAACGCTGCGGCAGTCCTGATCTGGCACCGAAGACAGACGGGGCGGAGGCACGGCCGGATCCCTCCGCGCCCGGCCGCGCAGCGTCCCGCACTGCCATGGCAACCCCAACGCGCGCGCTCCCGCCGGCAAGGCTTCCCACCAATCAGAGAGGGGAGCGCGCGGTGAGCGAGCCAATCAGGAGCGAGGAAGGCGCCACCGAGCCGAGCCGAGTCGAGCCGAACGGGGCCGAGCCGAACGGAGCCGGCGAAGTCGGGCTCCCTGATTTATTATTCAAAGTTCATTAAATCGTATTATGCGAGATTTCACACATTCGCCCAGTGCTGACCATGATACCAAATTTGAAACTGCCATCAGCCAGATACCATCAGATGAGAGAAATGTCAGGGCTTTTCCCCCAGCAGTGCTGCACTGACACAGAGATCTCACAATAACTGTGTGCCACGTAAACGGGGTGTTTCCTGGAGCCCCTTATACTTTATTTTTTAAAATGCATTATTATGATTGATTTGTCAGCACCCCAGGCAAAAACGAGACCCTTGTGCCCAGCCGCCTGCCACTGCCCTGGAATGGGATCCCCTGCACAGCCCAGGGTGCATCCATTAACCTGGCCAGGGACTTGTGACAGCAGCTGTCAGAGCCAAACCCCTTATGCCATTCTGGAAAGAAAGACCCCCATCCTCCTGGATCCCCCACACTCTTAGTCTCTATGCTCTTAATTTTGTCATTTTTATAAACTACCATTGTCTGCCAGCATCCCTGAAGGACTCTGGCTGAGCAATTTAAGGAATAACACACTTTATTAACAAATACACTGATCACAGAACACTGTCACAAAGTGGGGGCAGAGATTGTCACTGACAGTGCACTGACTGCAAGAACAAGCTTGGAGGGATACACAGGCTCTGATCACCAGTGAAAGTTTGAGATAATCAATGTGTACAGAGTAGGGATCCTACCCAACAGGTGTGCCCACGGGGGAAAAGCCAAGATCAGCCCATCGAGCCATCCCAGAAGTTATGTGGAGCCTTTCCTAACTTGTCCCCCTCTTAACTCACTGTTAGACTATTTCTGTACACTTAGGTGAAGCTTGAGTGACTCTAGTCAAACATACTTTTGTTCTTGATTGGTGCAAAATTCCCTCACTTTGCTCTCAAAGACATAGTTAACAAAACAGAGAGTGTGTGCTCAGGGAGGGGTGGTCACACTTTGGAGCTGGGTAGCTTTGGGATGGAGGTGTGCCACATCTTTACAATGAGAGTACAAAGAGTGGGATTCATCTGAGGAGAGCGATTTCCCCACAGCTGCTGACTGAGGAACAGGACATCTCCATCCTGTGCCTGGCAGCTCCTGTGTGGTTTGTCACCTACGAGGTACCACCGAGTTCCCATTCCTGCAGGGATCACAACAGAGCCTGGCCATGGGTCTCCATCCTGCTCCACCTTCCATTTCATCCCTCCTTAGCATCTGCTTCAGCCTGCGGGGGGAACTACCACGGAATGAATTCTGTGCTTGCCAACTGCATTCCCTCCTGGAAACAGCAACTGCATTTTACCCTAAAATTTCCTAATGTTACAGCTTCTGTTGGAATATGACTATAACTTTAGCCTCAATATTCTCCCCTAAATGTATCTAATTTCTTCCCATTTTCCCACTTAATCAATCCCATGACTATAGCACTCAAGCTTCCCAATATCCAAACGGAGTTCAAGAGGGTTTCAAGCATTTGTATTGCATGGATTATCTGATGTTTGTAGGGGTGGCCAATAGGCTAACTGCCTCATAATAACACAAACTTTAACAAATAATACCTTTATCAAGACAAAAAGCAAAAGGGTTAATATCAATACAGCAAATTCCTGTAGCAGTTGGTGATCATCTGAAGAGGGTATCCCACCACCATTATTCTGCATCTTTCTTGACTGGTTCCAAAATGTGATGTATTTTCTCCACATTGTGATGGACAAGGACCAGAGCCCTTAGTCCATTTTCTTGAGCTTGTTTCAACAATTGTTTTAAGTCTTCATGTTGTAGCAGTTTCCTGCTCAAGGTGAAATTCATTCAGTAGGGGTGGGCAGCAGGTCTTGAACCAGCATTTAGTTAAACTGTAACAATTGGTAAGATGTGACAGGCGCTGAGTAAATAAAACCACAAACATTTGAGTGATTATTTGTAGCTTCACTAACATTATCTATGCGTTACCATGGAATCACAAAGACTTCTCATGCTCTGTCACCAATATGTACAATTGAAAACATTTTCAGGCATTTCACTGGGATGTGTCTCAAAATAACAAACACTTTTTGTTCAGTGTCAAGACAAATGTCTTAAGCTTTGAGAGTGCTACTTTCACAAATGACTCTTGTTGTTCTTGCACAATGCCATCAATGTCTTGCCATTTCTTCCATCCTTTTGCACCCATAGTCTCTGCTCCAGGGGATAGAGTATAGTCCCACTGTGACTGAACCCTCACACAGATTTGATTAAGTGTTAAGGTTCGAATCTTCTGAACCTTCAGAGTCAAAATCCCTATTTCAGTTTAGAAGGACAGGCCCCTCCTGGATTCCCCCTGCTCCTAATCAGTATGTTATCAGTTTTGTCAAGTATGCTACCTGTGCCAGAGGTACTCACAAGGACTCACACTAACAGTTTATGGAATAACACAGTTTATAAATATAACAGAAAATTGTGACAGGTTGAGGTTTGAGGATTGCCAGTGATAGTATCTCACTGCAAAAATGTATTCAAAGCAACACACAGATAATCCCTCACAAAAGCTGTCTCAAGATAATCAATCAATATGTGGAGAACAGAGTTCTTACCCAACAGATGTGCCTGCAGGGCCTGCAGGGAAGAAGATGGGTTCAGGCCCATGACTGACCCCAGAAGTTACAATGGGGACTTCCCCAACTTCTCACATTTCTTTACGTTTTGGTGGAGCTTGAGTGGTTCCAGCCATACAGCAAGGGGTGGTTGTACCTTGAGGGGAGTAACTTTGGGATGGAAACGTGTTACAGCGTTTCATCTCAGCTAACCTTGGTTTGGGGCTGTGCTCAGTGTTACACCTGAGGAGAGTAATTACACAGCAGCAAGATGTCTTCTCCTATGTCCCTTAGTTTGTTGGAAATGATGCAACTTTTCTTTCTTTCTTTTTTAAAATTTTTTTTATTTAATGTAACTTTAGTCACAGGTTTGTTTTATTTTGTTCACCTTTTCCCAGGGGAAGGGGAATTGGAAGTTTCTTTTCAAAAGACTCTGTTCACCAGGTAAAGCCTGATGAAGCCTTAAAATCTACAGACTGAGAGTAGCCGGAAGATACAGAGGAGATAAATGAGCATTAATGAACATGACCCCCTGGGGCAGTTGGAGACACCTGGTCTGGGAAAAGATTGATAAAAGAACCAAAGAAAGAGGTCCTAATCAACGTCAAAGGTGAAGGAATCAATAACCATCAGCAAATCAAACACTAAGAATTGTGTAATTTAAGATCAATGAACATTAATTTCTTTGGGGTTTGTATGTATAAATATGTGAAAAGTCTAGTAAAGAACCATGTGTGATTGAATGATTTTCACTGTACAACCCAGGCATGTGTGAATAAAATCATTTCTACTGCACATCCTGGCCAAAATAACATCCTGGCCAGAAAAAAAGTAATGCCTCAATTCTCCAACACTGAAAAGATGTTGTTGGAGGGTTTCTGTTTTCCCCATAGTTTCAGTGATAATGTGGCCATAACTTTAGCCTCAAGATACTTCTCAGTTTTCTTTAATTTCCCACTGTGCGAGAACTGATTATTTATTTAAAAAGAAAATAATTTTTGGTTTGGGTCAAGCCCAGCCCAGAAAAAAACCCCTCAGGTCCCTCCTTCTGCTCTGATCTAATGGTTGTAGCAAGTTTTATCTCATTTCTTAGTGTTTTCACTGTGGACTGTTTCCTCAGCAAGATGAAAATTTAATGGCAGCAGAAAAAATCAGAAATATTTACTATAAAAATGTAACTGGACTTTTATGGCCTTTCTGGAAAAGAGGACCAGTTTCCTGCTGATCAATTCTTGTGCCTTTCTTGTTGTTGCTGCTGTTATTTTGCTTATCTGAGGCCTTACATTTCTTCTCCTGAATTTCACATGGAGGAAATATGAATGTTTTCCAATATGAAATGGAGGACGAATTATACATCTATCTTTTTACAGAACAGAATGAAAATGAACCAACTTCAGGCTTTGCTGAGTGACAGCCTTGCCAGCACAAAAAGCATGTGGAAAATGCAGTTATCATGGTATAAAGACAAGTCTCTGCATCGACCTTTGGCTTTAATGTGAGAGATCAAGAGCTTCCTGGGAAGTGACAGCAGAGGTGGAAACTCTGTGAAATCAGAGCACAAAGCAGAAATAATGGCAGGGAGCAGAGCACTCTACTAAATCCACTTGTTCTCTCAGCCTCAGAGCCCAGTGCTGGGGTACAGCTCAGCTGACTTGCAAGGTGGTTGCTAATTTCACATCTTTGATTTTTTGGAACAAAGATGCCATTTAAGTGGCATTTTGAAGGAGTCCTTTTTAACCAATTTGTGCTCAGTGATCCTGACAGTAAAGCAGATGGATGTAGGTCCATTCTCTGGCCCTGAGACCTGCTGGAATGGAGTGTCCTGTGCCCATGCTATAACCCCAAAGCTGTGGCTGAACTGGGATGCTGGTTGGGAACATAGATCTAGATTCAATACCAGGGGTTGATACAGAAATATTTTCTGCCTAATTCTGGAGAAACAATGCAGTGAAACTACCTGTAGATGCCAAGTTACTATCACTGATACAGCACATGAAACAAACCCTTTCTTCTATCCAATGACAGCCCTGTCTGTGCCCAGAGTCACAGAACCACACACTCATTGCTGGAAAAGACCTAAAGATCATCAAGTCCAGCCATTACCCCAGCACTGCCAAGCCCACCACTAAACCATGTCTGTCAGTGCCACATTTACAGGTCTTTTAAGTACCTCCAGGAATGGTGACCCTAGGCAGTCTGTTCTAGTGCTTCACAGCCCTTTTGGTGAAGAAATTGTTCCCAAAATCCAATCTGAACCTCCACTTATGCAACTTGAGGCCATCTCAGCTTGTTCTATCACTTGTAACTTGAGAGAAGAGCCCAACCCCCACCAGGTTTCACCCTCCTGTCAGCTGTACAGAGAGAGGATGGTCTCCCCCTGAGTCTCCTGGGCTGAGCCCCTTTCCCAGCTCCCTCAGCTGCTCCTCATCAGACCTGTGCTCCAGACCCTTCCCCAGCGCCGTTCCCTTTCCTGGACACGCTCCAGCCCCTCAATGTCCTTCCTGAACTGAGGGGCCAGAACTGCACACGGCCCTGGAGGTGACCTCAGCAGTGCCCAGCCCAGGGGACAGTCACTACCCTGGCCCTGCTGCCACACCATGGCTGGCACAGCCCAGGTGCCTTTGGCCTTCTTGCCCACCTGGGCACAGCTGGCTCAGGTTCAGCCGCTGTCACCAGCACCCCCAGGTCCTTCTTCACTGGACACCTTTCCAGCCACTCTGCCCCAGCCTGTGACACTGCAGGGCTTGTTGTGACCCAAGTGCAGGACCCAGCACTCAGCTTTGCTGAACCTCAAACAATGTACCCCAGCCCCATGGATCCAGCCTGTCCAGATCCCTCTGCAGAGGCTTCCTTCTCTCCAGCAGATCAACACTCAAACTGGTGCTGTCTGGGAACCTACGGAGGGTGGACTCGGTCTCCTCATCCAAACCATCAATAAAGACATTAAACAGATCTGGCCCCAGTGTGGAGCCTTGGGAAATGAGATTTATTAAATCTAACAGCAAGGCCTTCCCTTATAAGCTAACTTCAGATTAGCTCTATCTTGTTATTTTCAGCAGGACTACACACAGAGTTGGAGCAGGTCCAAAAGGCACCACTGTCTGCCTGGCTGGCTCAGTAATACAATCAGGAGCCATATCATGCTTGATCTGAGCATTTTTTTTTTCTGCTATGGAAGGAAGGCAGAAAGTGTAAAGCTGAAAGATTGCAAAAAATGCCAGCACTTTCAAAATCCTGTAACAATATCCACTCATTATTTGCTCTTGTAAATAGTAACATTGTTCAAAACCAGCCACTGTTCCTAGCAAAGACTAATGCTAAGTTTTTCCAGGGCCAGATTTGCAGTAGTTTTTCTTTGGAGTTTACTCTTGCTGTCCTGGATGATTACTTTCTCGAAAAAAAAAAAGGGAAGTAACTTTTCTTTGCATGTTACAAGATATTTCTGAAAATTATTTAAAGTGCTGCTCAGTACTTATTCTTTAAAGCAGATAATACCTCACAAATATAGGTATTTTAAATTTTCAGATAGAAACAGCACTGTCGTCATTTGAGTGCAGTACAGTGTGAGGGGGATTTGAACTTGAAAAAAAGCATCTCCATTACAGCAATTCTGTATATGAAGTTTATAATCATTGATTTAAATTTTTATTTATTTATGTCCTTGTGTTATTATAGCACACTACTTTAGAGAGAAAGGTTGCTGAATCAACAGAAAACTTGGACTTCATCAACCTTAAGAGTGCTCATTAGGAAGTAAAGTAAAGAAGTTTAAAACTTTAAACAAGAAACTGCTGCTTTACAACATTCCAGCTGCTGAGCTCCCTTCTGTTTTTTTCTAGAACAATTGTGGGCTTGCTGCTCATAAAAAGACTACCCTATGCATCTGCCCTCTAAGTTTCTTAACTGAATTGAAAGTGATGTCTTCAATATTTGGTTTAAGATGCTCTGCTTTATCTTTCTAATGCTGTATTTTAGCCTGCTTCTAGATAACATAGTTACTAATCTCACTACACAAAGTTCTCTAATGGCATTACAGCTATGCAGGGGCCACAGACCCAAGGGACAAAGGAAATTGCTACATTAACACATTTTAAGACTGTCCTGTACACCCTTGAATAATAAAACATATATTCATCATGTGAATTTGCATTGTCAATGACTGTAATAGAAAGTTATTTTAAACTGCAGTGGATTGCAAAGTTCTCCGGGGACAGTGGAGGAGGGACAATGCCAGCAGCGGCACTGAATCAGCCTGTGTGTACTACAGACCAGGCTTCATGATCTTTACATCTTCAGAAACACATCAATTATTAGCTCTTCAAGTCACGTGAGAACAAAAGAATTTTTAGCTGTACTTGATTCTAAATTTGCTCAGTTTCAAAGAGGAATTTAAAAGCCTGAATCAAAAATCTTCATTATTACAGGGGGAAAAAATCCACAAAAAAAATCCCACACATATGAGTTACCATTTTAAAATAGTCTGAAGTGTCAGTTTTATTCCCTGATAGCTCAAACACTCAAGAGCTGGTGATTAGAATACTGAGAAAGGCATGATCTGATCCTTCTGCAAAGCTCAAGGAGATATCATTAGACTTTTAGAATAGTATTGATTCTGATTCCAAACCATCAGGTAGAAACACACAGGGTGTAAGGACGTGAACCAGCGAGCTCCCTGGGAGCAGAGCCTGGGCAGCCTCCCCAGCGCGTTCAGGGCATCAGGGCTGGCACAGCTCCCACACCCTCAGTGCCGGTGGAGCAAATCGAGTGTGAGACACTGAGAATTCTGAAATGGCAGCACTTGCACAGCTGGAGCACACCCCATCACACACACTGGCACAGCCACGGGCAGCAGGCCGAGCTTCCCCGTGTGCTGGGGCCGATCTCTGCCGCAAGGCCAAGCGGGAAAAGATCCCTGTGCCAAGCCATGGAATAATCCAGGTCGTTCGCAGAAACAACGGGGAGCTGTGCTAATATTTCTGACTCCCCATATCTGTGGCTCCAAAGTAGAACAACCTCGCCTGTTCCTCGCCTTGGCCTGCAGGGGAGTGGCTGAATGCCAGGAGGAACTGGGATTGGACTCTGCTCCCGAGGACAGGCTGGGTTTGTTCCGGGGCACAGATTGTCCCTCCTTCCTTACAGGAAAAAGGTGAGCTCGGGGGCCACAGAGCTTCTTAAAATTGTTGTTTTCAGCCACTGCTGGCAGATCTGAGAGCTTGAAATGGTTGGAAAATTGTATCACAGTTTCTGCGGTTTTCTGTGCATTTGAGAGTAATGTAAATATTCAGATCCTCTTCTTGTATCACAGTTTCTGCAGTTTTCTGTGCATTTGAGAGTAATGTAAATATTCAGATCCTCTTGGTTTTTTGGTTTTGTTTTGTTTTTTTGGGGGGTTTTTAAACATTTTTGTGAGCCTGTTTCTAGCAAAAAAAGACAATAATTTATAAAAAAGCAGGTTAATGAACTCTGATGAAAGAGAAACAAAAGCTTCTTTCATATCTTATTTTAACTGACTAAATTTGTACCCAATTAAGGCAGCAGAAACAATTGTTATGAGGTGGCATCAGGTGGGCTTTCCATTGAATGTTTTTGCTGATACAGGCAAATTTTGTGGGACTGGATTAAATAGTTAATAACAATGACTAGACAGCCAGCCTCAGAAACACAAGCCTTTAAATTGCATTTTATGCAAATGGAAGTGCTTATTCACCATAAAATAGCCATAGAGCACCACCCTGTGGGGATTGACATCCCTGGGGTTTCAAGCTGTTTATCATTCTGCATTCGCAGTCTTACCACAAGTAATTAGGTAAGCACTTAGCTTTTCCTGTGCAGAAATCAGTGATTTCTACAGAGGGCAGGTGCTCTGTCACACAGTGCTGGTTACTTGAAGAGGCCTGGCCTGCAGCCCGTGCTGCACTCAGTGCAGTACCAGCTCTCAGCAAGTAACACAGGCTGTTCCCGTTGTGATTGCCTCTCCTTCTCATCTCCTTCCACCCAGGACCCAGGGAGCAGAGAGAAGACTGTTCCTCATTTGATTTCACCAGGCAGGAGAAAAGGCTTGATAGCTCAGCCCACCTCAACATCTGCTGGTGCCAAAAGGATCCCAGGAATAGCATCTGAGGAGGTACCTGAAAGACTCCTGCAGCAGTGAGAGCCTGTACCACAGCAAATCAGGCACACAGCAATCACCTCCTGAAGCAAGGGAAATAAACAGGAATTTTTAAAGCTATTTGTTACCTTTCATTACTGAGATTTTTCCACTGCACATGCCTGCATTTATGCAACATTTTTTCAGTTTGTTTGGTCTGGCTTGTTTTTTGTTTTCTTTTAGAGAAAATGTTTGCAGCCTATTTTGATTGCCCAGGAGGCCCAGAAAATCTCTATATGAAAGAAGTGATGAAACCAAATCCAGGAGAAGGAGAAGTTCTTGTGAAGGTCTCTGCCAGTGCTCTGAATAGAGCCGATTTACTCCAGGTACCTGTAGATTAAGCAGATTTATGCACCTAAAAACAACACATTTTTCAAACCTTTCTGTGAAGTCCTGACAGATCTGATGAGCTAAAAGAGTTTGAACCTGGTGAGCATTTGGACTGGAAAGTTCATAGGGCTGAAAGAAGAGATGTTTGTTGATTCAGCAGATAAATGTTTTTATCTGAGATAGTGCAGTGCTGGGCTGGCATGGAAAGGCAGCTGCCTTTCAACAAAAACATGTAAAACCAAAGCTCTGGTCTTTCTAGATCTTAGACCCTTTTCTGGGCATTTGAGATGAAAAGGAAATGTTCCAATGGCACAGTTCCAGTGGGAGAAAATTTATTCAAATTCACATTCAAATTATTAGTTTGAGCTGCAAGCCCTGCTCTGCAAATAGAGTCCATAGTATCTCCAGAGCATGGATTAGCCTGGGGGGAGGGAACTCACAAATATTTCAATTCATACTTATTTTAAGAGTAAGACTTAGGAAGAATAACACTTAGGAAGCAAAAGTGTTTCCAGAGGCTAGAAGATCCTCAAATTACTGCAACATATGCACAGGGCAAAATCAGGATTAAACAAATAGGAATTTAGGCTGGAGATATGTGAATGAAATATTGCAGGTCATTACACTCATTGATGGTTTTTCCTTCATTGCCTTTTTTAAAATTTTTTAAATTTTTATTTTAGAGGAGAGGGAAGTACCCTCCCCCCAAAGGAGCAAGTGACATTTTAGGCCTGGAAGCAGCTGGGAGCGTGGCTGGGCTGGGTCCCGGCTGCTCGGGCCGGTGGAAGATCGGTGACGCAGTGATGGCTCTGCTCCCCGGGGGAGGCCAGGCACAGTACGTGACAGTGCCCGAAGGCCTCCTGATGCCAATTCCCAAAGATATGACTTTTATCCAGGCTGCAGCCATTCCTGAAGCCTGGCTAACAGCATTTCAGCTGCTCCACTTTGTAGGTGAGAGGTGCATTTGTCCATTTATCCCGCCAAAACAACTCATCTTCATTTCTGTTACAAAGTCCTTTCCTTGTTGCCTCTATTTGAATGTTGCTTCCCTTCAAAGAACATTTTCTCTGTCACTTTGTTCTTGTGGATCAGAATCCATTATGCCAGACACAAATCCCTGAATCCTGACCACCTCTCCTCAGTGCCAACCCGCCCTGTTGATTACATATTTACAAGAAAGGATATGCAAAGATGGCCAATTCCTTTTCATGTATTTCTCAGTTTGAATCACTGAATGGTTTGGGTTGAAAAGGAACTAGGTGATCTAGTTCTTTGCCATGGACAGGGACACCTTCCATTAAGCCTAAACCCTGAAATTATTCCTACCTTTTCCAGGCACCTGAAAACACATATTACTTCTAAGGATCTGGCTTGCATGACCATACAAAGAACTTTATCACTAATTGCTTGTGAATCTGCAGTAGGCAACATCTTGTACCTTTGTTTAACAGAGATATTATTTATAAATATTATTTGTATTATTTGTAAATAATATCTCTGTTATAAAGTAAAATCCACTCTAAGCTGACTTAAAATAGACAGAACCCACACTCTTCATTTTAAAAATAAGCTGACAAGGTAATAAACAGCAGCACTTGCCAAGGTTTTCGTCCAGTGAGAAATATCCTACACTCTTCAGCAGTAGCATCTAAAAGATACAATAAGGAACAAAAGTTCCAAACATAACTTCCCTGCAGACTTGCTTCAAGCAGTGTTGCTTCCTGGGGATCAGTGGGAGGCTACTTGGTGCCTCACTTTCAGGAGCAATTGGTGAAACACAAATTAATGCAACCAATAGATTGTAAAATGATTGGTAGGATTGGTCTTTAATGTTACCCAGCATTTCTGGTATTTCTCCATTGCTGAGTGCCTGATTTCTCAGTATGAACATCCTCCAAGTGTGTTTTCTACTGATGGTATAAAAAGGCTGTGACTGCCCTCACTTAAGCATCTTGGTCACAGATGCCCAGAACTGCACATGGCCAAGACAAAGTCCTTCCACTGAGGCTGGGAAAATGACATCCTGTCAGCACACTGCAACCTCTGCTGCTTCTGGATTTCTCTCTTTTATGAAGGCTATGAAGATGGCCAATTGTCCAAAGTCTAGTCATGGGCATCTCTTTCAACCTCCTCTTCACTGTCTTCCATACTCATATTTTAATCCAAAGGTGATGCCCAAAGGGTGACCACTTTCCTTCTGCCCTCCTCCAGGTAAAGTACAGGAGGGTGAGAAAGTGTTGATCCACGCTGGAGCCAGCGGGGTTGGCATGGCAGCCATTCAGCTGGTGAGGCTGGCAAAGGCCATTCCCATTGTGACAGCAGGAACTCAGGAGAAACTGGAAGCAACAGCAAATGCTGGAGCAGCTGCAGGGTTCAACTACAAGAATGAAGACTTCAGTGAAAAGGTCTTGGAGTTCACCCAAGGTAAAAACCTCTCTGTGAAAGTGGGAATGAACCTCCCAACATGTGGACACAGTTTCAGCTGTCACCTGGTGAGGGAGCAGGCAGTAGTGACCCTGGAAGCACAACCTGATATCCTGCTCAGCCCAGAACGGGCTTTTCCTTAGTTTAATTGTGCTGTTTTCTGCACGGGTTCTCTTTGGCTGTGTTCATTTGTGGCATAAATTTTGTGCCATGTTATTGCTGCCTCCCCGAGGACCTATGGGACCAAATCCCTGCATTTTGGTGTTTGAATCATCACAGAAGCACAGCATGGCCTGGGTTGGAAAGGGCTTTAAAGATCATCCCGTTCCAACCCCCTGCCATGGGCAGGGACACCCCAGCTTGCTCTGAGCTCCATCCAACCTGCCTTGAACATTTCCAGGGGTGGGGCACCTGCAGCTTCTCTGGGCAACCTGTGCCAGTGCCACTTAATTCTTAAACTGTTAGAAAAATGTAGCTTTTCTAAGCATTTGGGGTGGTTTATGCCTGAGTTTGCTTATGGGTAATTGATGGTTCTTTTTTTGTGCCTGATTCTGTAATTCCTTACAAATCACTGTGCCAATTCCTAATTTCAGTAGAAAGATTTAAATAAGAATTGTAGGGCCAATTCTGTACCTATAAATAACAAGGTTTTAGTCTTGCTTGAAATTATCCTACCCTTAATGAAGCTTATTCATTGCTAAAATCTTTTCTGTTTCTACTTGAGGTTCTGGAGTAGATATTATTTTAGATTGTGTTGGGGCCTCATACTGGGAGAAGAATCTCAACTGTCTGAGCACCGATGGCCGGTGGATTATATATGGACTGCTGAGTGGAGGTGAAGTCCATGGGGATTTGCTGGCAAGGCTGATTTCCAAAAGAGCCAGCATCCACACCAGCCTGTTACGGTCCCGAGACAAGGAGGCAAGTAGTGGCTATCCGAAGTTTGATCTTAAAATTTATTATAGTTTTGAGAGCTTTCTTTTAAAACCAGTGTTAAACACAATCTTGTCAAAAAAGTCCCACTTTGAACTGTTAATACATACTTTGGAAAATGTCACACAATTAAGTTGTAATTTTTTTTTCTATTTTTATCAAATTCCTCCCTGAATGAGAGGAATGACACCCAGGACTTCTTAATGGGCTTCATGGATACCATAATTTAGATATTTGGCCCTAGAAGAAATAAAACTCCAGTGACTGGGCAACTTGATCAAGTCTGAGGAGGGAAAAATAAAAATCTCTATTAGGTCACTTCAAAGTAGAAACCAAGGCCATTTGGATGCTGAGTTACCAAAGAAAACTCATTTTAAGTGGAATATTCTCACCAAAAGACCCGCAGTGCAGAGCCCTAAGGTGGATTCTGTGCGTGGATTAAGACAGAACATTTACAAGACCTTTATCAGTTTGATTGAAATGGTTCTGCGCGGAGCTCACACCACTTGCCTTGGGGAATTTCATTCAATTAAGATGTAACAAATCTAAAAGCTTTCTTCTTGTTTGTAATTTACACCTGTCAGGTGATTTTATCTCCGTTTCACCGGGAGAATGTCAGAAGGGGTCTCGTTGAGGGCCGTGTACATTTTGCACGCCGTGCTCCGAGACCCCTCACCCGGGGAGCGGAGCGCTGGCAATAACCTGGCGGGTGTTTCTCCGCAGTACAAGGAGCGGCTGCTGGGAGCCTTCACAGAGGAGGTGCTGCCCCATTTTTCCGAGGGGGCTTCCCCGCGTCTGCAGCCCCTCGTGGACAGCGTTTACCCCCTGCACGCCATCGCTGAGGCACACAGAGCCATGGAAGAAAACAAGAACATCGGCAAAATCGTCATCGAAATTCCCGTTTGCTTCAAGAAAGGGCCGCCGCAGTAGCTCCTGTGGGACAGTCACTGCGGGGGCTGCACTGCGGCCATCCTGCCGCTTCTGCTCCGCACCGGGACCGATTCACGTGGGTGGCGAGGAGGGGGAAAGGATAAGGAGGAAGAGTTTATTAAAGAGGTTCATGTGGCAATTCTGACACCTCGGAGCGAACGTGCGGGACCAGGACCGGGGCTGAGGGGCGGGGGCGGGGCCGGGCCGGAGGGGCGGGACTGAAAGAAAGGGCGGGCCCAGAATCGGGTCACGTGAGGAGGGCTGGCCGGGCGCCCGCGCTGCCGCTTCCCGCGCGGTGCAGGCCGGGACGGATCCGGTTCCGTGAAGGAAGCGCGCGGTGCCCGCCGGGATAGATCCGGCTGTGCCGCCCGTCGCTCCCGGTCCGCGCCGCTGGCCCCGCTCCGGGCTCGGTTCCCGCCGCTCTCTCCGCCGCTGTCTCCGCCCCAGCTTCCTTCCCCGCCGGTGTTTCTCCCCCAGGCCGCGGCCCCCACTCACCGCCCGCCGTCATGGCGATGCAAGCAGCCAAACGAGCCAACGTGAGTGCTGCCCCGTCCCGTCCCTGCCGGGCTGGGCTCCGGCTTCGTCCCGCTCCCGGCGCCCGCTGCTCTGAGGGAGCGCGGCCGGGGGTGGGACTGGGTGATATTTAAGGCCCTTTCCAGCCCCAGCCATTCCGTGCCTCGGTGATTCCGTGGTTTTGCCCCTCGGCTGCTGGGTTTAAGGTTTGAGTACGTGCCTAACACACCGCCTGTCCTTCCCCCGCCAGATCCGGCTCCCTCCGGAGGTCAACCGGATCCTGTACATCAGGAACCTGCCGTACAAAATCACGGCCGAGGAGATGTACGACATTTTTGGGAAGTACGGGCCCATCCGGCAGATCAGAGTGTGAGTATTTCCAGTTTCTTCGGACCGTGAAGGGTTTCGCGTGCTCCAGTGGCAGCTGCGTTTCACAGCTCGGAATTCGGTGCCCTGGAGCCCCGAGTCCCAGATGGGGACGTGATGATGCTCTTAACACGTGAATTTGTTAGAAAATTCTTCTGCTGGGAGGTGCAGAGAATGAGCTTAAATTTTAAATGAACCCTGGGAAGTTGATAAAATATGACAGACTTGTGTGCTTAAGTAAGTTTCAAATACAACTGAAGTTTTACCTTGACTTGGGGTGAAAACAGGAAAGGCAGAAGCTGAGCACTAACAGTTTTCCAGTTTTATGATTATCTGCTAACCATTGGGAAAACAGGGATGTTGCTGTTGCTGGATCTGTTCACTAGAAACACACACCAGCAGCAAGCCCTGCGTGGCAGAGCCAGGATGTCCTCGGGCCATAGCGTGTCTGGGTAGTGGAGATGTGACTGTGCCTTTGGCTCTGAAATGTGTTCTGGAGGTTGTGCAAGTCTGCAGCAACTCTGATGTTCTTCTCCTGGCTAGTTCAAATGCTGAGGACCTGAGCTTTGATCATCATAGGAGAGTTTGTTGTTGGAAGGGACCTTGAAGACCATTTTATTCCAACCCCCTGCAGTGGGCAGGGACACCTTCCATGTGACCAGGTGCTCTGAGCCCCATCCAACCTGGCCTTGAACACTCCAAGGGATGGAGCATCCACAGCTTCCCTGGGTGACTTGTTTGATTGATTGTTGTGTAGAGTAAAGTGAGTTTTACAGAAAGCAAAGGACACCAAGGGGACACATGCTGCTGGTGCCATGCTGGGATGGGACACCAGACAGACCCTTCTTGAGCAAGGAGGGGCAGTGGATGTGACTGGAGAAGTGGCTGAGAGAACAAGGGCAGTGTAAACACTGCCTGGCTAAATAGGTGGAATTCTTTGCTAATGAGCATAAAGGAGAGCCAGTACTTAAGTTTTCTGAAAACATGTGGGCTGGAACAGCATGATAGTGGGACACAATTAGGTCGTATCAGGGGCTTTCCATTGGGGTGATGCACTGGTGTGTGCACCCAGCAGTTTGTTCAGAACTACTAATTGATGTAATTTCCCCCACAAATCCCAATATTCTCAGTGCCAGGGCATAACTTGTAAGCCTCTTTGTAAGGCTTTTTTGCTTTGTGCAGTGTTTATCCCATTGTCCTCACCTTTGCACAGATCCCAGGGTGATATGCGTGATAGCATTTGTCCTCAGGAGTTCAGAAGCACCTTAAGGAAGCTGTTCTGACTGTGAAGTCTCTGTCTGTCTGTTAGTGGAGACCTTTGGGATCTCTGCAGCCCCTCTGTTACATGCCCAGACCTGTGTCCCATCCCTCAGGCAAAGGACATGGAATTGGTGCTCCTGTGGGTGGTGGCAGTGGGCTTGCACCAGTGGGGCTGTTCTGCCTCTTGAGTTCACTTTGTGATAAGCCAGAAGTCCTGTTTCATCCTAGGGACACATCTGATCCAGATAGCCACTGACAGCAAGTCTTGTAATATTAAATAAAAGCTAATTGCTATAATAAAGATTTAAATTATTTCCAGACACAACATAGCAGCCCTTCAACAACCCAGTTGTTCTGGAGAGGTGCATCTCCCTTATGGAGCAAAATACAGCACATTGTCCTGTTGTCTCTGGCCCTGAACTGTTTGGTGTGGAAAGCAGGGATGTAGTTTAATACCTAGAAAAAATAACAAATTGGTTTTTAGTGACGTTGCATTAGTTCATCTAATCTCAGTCACTGTGAAATAAATAAACTATTTCCTGTTCATTTTATTTGACCTTGATTCTGCCCTTGCTGTGCAGTGGGAATACCCCAGAGACCAGAGGAACAGCCTACGTGGTCTACGAGGACATCTTCGATGCCAAGAACGCCTGTGACCACCTGTCGGGGTTCAACGTGTGCAACAGATACCTCGTGGTTCTGTACTACAACGCCAACAGGGTACGAGCTCCTGCTCTGAGCACAGCTGTCACAAAGAAACAACCCCAGCATCAGTTTGTAAAGACTGCTGCTTGGGTGTTTTTAAGAGATAGAATCCAAACTGTTAGAGGGAGTGAATGGGATACATGGTCAGAGTTTCATATTTACTTGGTGGTTTGTGTGCAAGAAAAGTACCTTTGGACAAAGGGTGGGAAAAACATATTTGTGGAGAGTGTGGAGAAGAGGGTGCAGAGGCCCCACAATTGCACAGCTGCAGTAGGAGCTGAGATCTTATTTTTGGGTAAAAACAAGTTCTCTATGTCCTCCCTGTCACCAGTGACATCCAGGGCCCTGTGACATTCTCCAAGGGCACGAATCAAACAATGTTCTCTGTGTGTGATGGTGATGGAGTTCACAGTGGTGCTTGTTGCAGATACTGGGAAATAACTTGTCATGAGATGAGAGATTACTTTGTCTTCTTACATCTTTTATTTTCCTAATTACAGGCATTCCAAAAGATGGACACAAAGAAGAAAGAAGAACAGCTTAAGCTTCTCAAGGAAAAATATGGAATTAACACAGACCCACCAAAATAAACTGATCCTTTTTGAAAAACTGTTTTCGAGCCCTGTCATGGAGTTCTTGGCCTAAACATAGGAATTCTTAACAGAGTGTAATTTTTTTCTGTTATGAATTTGATAAGCTGCAATATGAGTTTTTATATCTTTAGATTAGGATTAAATAAATGTAGAACATAGGGAGATCTGCTTTAAGGTTAAATCCCCCAAGACGACATGGCTTCCCTGTGCTGAGGGTGACCTGGTAAAGGCTGCAATGTCCTGTTTCTAGCAGGAGCTTTCAAGAAGAGACTGAGCAGGTTCTGTGTTTGACTGAACAAAGCAAGCCCAAGCCCTTGTTTGTAACAAAGTTTCTTTCACAAACTGTAGAAGATGAACGACTTTCAAAAGGATCCACCTGATAAAGGGACTCCAAGTACCTTGTTCCCAGTGATGGTACCAGCTCTAATCAGCTGCAGTGAAACAGCTCAGCTCTCACATTACCAAAAAAAAGTGTATGGGGGCTTTGTTTTGTGTCCCAGGTTTGGACTGAGGATTTGGTATGAATTGAAGAACACGTGACCAAAATGAGACAGTAGATGAAGGTTTTCATTTTGATACCTGTAGTGTGATTGTTTTCTACTTGGCATGGTTGAACTGTAACACATTTTCTGTACATAGATTTTTAGGTGTAGCATGTGGTAGAGGAAAAAATTTACATTTTTTGGGCTATTTTCAGTACTCATGTCCTGTGTATAAAAATGAGTGTGATCCAGGCTATGCATAGCCAGTATCTTTTGGAAGTGGGAAAGAATAACCTCTGCCTGTGTTCTGAACCAGCTGGAAGTTGTGTGAATGTGGGAAGTATCCTGCCTTGGGAGGATTTATTTGTGTGGATGTGATATTCCACTCCCTGACCAGACAGCTTCCAGCCAGTGCAGAACCAGGGCAGATAACTATATACTTTGCCTGGAATTTGTAATCCAGTTTGTTTTTCAGTGCATTGTACTGTTATAGAGAAATGCTTCCACTTTCTGAAATTACTTTTTTGTTGAAATATGTCACTTCAGGAACAATGCTGTGTTAATTTGGTGAAAAAATAAATGCATATTTTGCTTCTTTTGATCAAGGCTCTGCTGCTCCTGCCTGTAACCTGCGCTGTTAGATGGGAGTAATTTATCACCCGAGTGTTTGATGCAGGCAGGAGCTGCAGCACATCCATCCCTGTGTGTGACAGGAGGGTGCCCAGCTGTGGGAACAATGCCCACATCCCAGCTGGAGGAGATCCCTGGAGCTGCCCTGTGCTGGGCACCTCCTTTGGCAGCTGGAAGGGGCTCACTGCAATACTCACATTTACTAGCTGGAACCAATGAGAAACTAAACACTCATCATTTTTCACTAAATGGTCCTATTTTCTTCATTCCTCAAATAAACAATTACAAATTAATAAATCAGATGCTACAAAGAAAAGGTCAGTAATGGCTTTTGAAGAGTGAGCTCCAAGCCAGCTCTGGGGGAAAGCAGCCACGATGGCTGAGGTGTGATTTCAGCTTTGGGTGGGTGCTTGAAGTCCTATCCTGTGCCTGACCCTGGAGCACACTGGAACAGATCTGCCCTGCCTTCCCTTGCACACAGGCACTGGGGATGCGAGCCAGAGCCATGCTTAATGCACAATTCCCCCAAATCTGCATCTGTTCCTTGAAACTGATGCTGTTTTTGCAGCAAGAAGCCTTGCAGGCTGCAGTAACCACAGCTGAGGTCAGGAGCAGGCACTGGGAGGCTTGGAGCCCAGAAGCTGGGTTAGGGGAGCAGTCCCTCCATGGCCAGCCTGGCTTCCATCAGGTTAGGTTAACACAAGCACACAAACCTCAGGCAAGAACCAGGTTGCATTAAAAATCTTTAAATGAATTAAATCCTGCTGGAGGATTTGCTCCTATATGAGCATCCATAGCTTTTCAAGGGTTACAAACTGCTCTGCCCCCAAATATGTATCTTTTATATATATAAATATATATATTTATATGTGCCATGTATATACATACTCATCCGTGTACCAAACACTTGGATAACTGAAATCATTTATACCAACTGCTGGGCATTGAGAAGGCTCCTTGCTGAAACGAGAACTGGAGGTGCTTGTTGCCATGCTGGATTTATGGTTCTGATAAATAATGAACACTGATAATAAATACCAGAGTGCCAATAATGGTGCTGCATGCTGCCAGCCTTGTTTTATATCATATGCAAATACCACATTGCTTCTGTCAATAGCAGAGAGCATGGTGCTTGCACTGCGGTGTCTGTTTTGATGAGAATTTGATGCTGTTTGAAAAACATATATAAAAAGCAATTCTTTAGGGTAATAAGATTAATAAAAATTCCTTCAATGAATCCTCAAGATCAGCAGCTTTTGATTTCTCTGAGAGCTCAGCTGCCGCCTTTCATTAAATATTCCATTTCATAGTTTTTCTTCCAGTGCCTGTTCAGGGCTTTCAATGTCCCTGCACATGTAAAATGAAATAATAATTTGTACCTGCAAGACGGAGGGAATGGAAATGGAATGCCCGGAGGACTGTTTTGATGAGATCTACTCAAGATTTTGTTTGAAATGTAATATCAAAGAACAGGGAAATGAGTTCAGCTCATGAATGGCAGAGGGGCAGCAAATAAAGCAGATGTTACCAGGCTTGCACTCTGCATCTGTGCTGGCTTTTTGTGTGCTCACTTCCCATTTAATTTTTCAGGAAATAAGGCATGAAATTAAGACTTGAAGGTCATTTTTTTTTCAATTAATCTGTTTAGAAATTAGTAACAAGAGTATATCTGATTACACAGGCAATGACAGTAAACTTTTTCCAATCTATTATACAGGGGTAATAATTATATGTACTGTGTTGATCGATGATACAATTAAATAAATTAACGCATTCGCAGTCGAATAAAGAGCTGAAGATTACATTTCCTTGAAGACTTAATTTCCCTAAGTATTACAAAGCACAATTAGTTTTCCTTTCAGATTTTTTTCTTTTTAATGAAATCGGCATGAAAAATGTAATAGTCCCTGTTTCCAACCAAGGTCTCCGCAGAGAGGAGGCGGTGAGGGAGAGCTTCATCAGCCAGCTGTAATAAGGATTTTACAGAGTGGGTAATGGCTGGTTTTTGCTGGGAGGGCAGAAAGGAAGGGCACAGTGGCAGCTCTGCAGATAGAGGTGATAAGATAAGTACAATCAGCTTTCAGAGCCCAGCAGGAATGTGCTGGTGAGAAACCCGCAGGAGCAGAAGGGCAGAGCCATGCTCTGCCCATGGCCACAGATGCAGCAGAAGCTCCCAAGCACGGCCCAGAGGGGATGGAGGGAGCATGGGGCCATTCCAGGCTCACTCACACAATCCTTGGCATTGCCGTTTGCTGTTGGGACATTCAGAAAGGGGCCCAAAACAGGTGCTGGTCTCTGGTGAGACCCCACCTGCATCCAGCTCTGGGGTCCCAGCACAGGGAGGATTTGGATCTGTTGGAGCAAGTCCAGAGGAGGGACACCAGGATGATCAGAGGGATGGAGCACCTCTCCCATGAGGAAAGGCTGGCAGAATTGGGATTGTTCAGCCTGGGAAAGAGAAACTTTGGGGTGACCTAACTGTGGCCTTCCAGTACCTGAAGAGAGCTGAAAGAAAGATGCAGAGTCTCTTTACAAGGATATGGAGTGACAGAACAAGGGGGAATGGCTTCAAACTAGCAGAAGGCAGGGTTAGATCACAGATTAGGAAAAACATTCTTTATTGTGAGGGGTGGTGAGACACTGGCAAAGGTTTCCAGTGAGGATGGTTGTGGATGTTCCATCCCTGCGTGTGTTCAAGGCAAAGCTGGATGGGCCTTTGAATGATCTGGTTTAATGGAAGGACCTTAAATTATCTTTAAGGTCCCTTTCAACCCAAACCATTCTGTGATTCTATCACACTTTGGGTTTTTTCTTTTTCGTTTTGTTTTGGGGGTTTTTTTGTTTGTTTTTTTTTTGTTGTTTTTATTTTTCTTTTTCGGTTTTTTTTTTTTTTTTTTTTTTTTGGTTTTTTTTTTGGTTTTTTTGGTTTTTTGTTTTTTTTTTTTAATAAGCAATTAACTTAAATTGGGCCATTGACAGCTTAGACCAATGTGCTGAATCAAACTGTGTTTGACAGGCACAACACAGCCACACCACCTTTAACCAAGACTTTGGGAAGTACAATTTGTGACACAGTGGTGAAAGGAAGGCCAGCAACAGAGGCCAGGGCCCTGGCAAAGTAGAGCAGAACCTTTTGAAATTATTTGGGAAAGCTGGTGGACATCAGATCCTGACAGATCCAATTACCAATTTTTAACAGGAAATTAGCATGCCCTAAATAAAAGAATTATTAGTGGAGGTGTAACCCAGCTGCTGCAGTGACCTGAGATTTCCACCAAAAAAGGGGTTCTGAAAATCCCTTCATTTCTTTATGGAAAGCAGAGTAAGAAAAAAATTTACTCAGTGTATAAAAATCTGTAAGATATGGATTTATGGGTTTATTATTTAACAAGTTAAAATAAATGCATCTCTGTGGGTAAAATGAACACCTGGAGGGAGAAGACCACGAGCCATTGTCCCCAGCTAGATCACCAGTCTTGCTTCTCTGTGCTCATTCCCTCTCCCCAACTCCAGAAGTGTCACCTGGAGTCATCTCTGTAGCTTTGCTGTCTGCTCATGCTGGGAGTGTTCTCCTTACACAGATACAGAAACAGCACAAGTCTTTGAAATATGACCATCAAAACATCTGTTAGTAGAAAGTCATGCAAATAGTTTATACTCAAGTTAAATAAATGTAACATCATGACCCTGGTTTTCTACAGAGAAGAGGAAAAATGAGCCTAATGGAAACAAATCAGACAAGGCAAAATAACAGCACAGACCTTGCTGATGAGGTCCTGCTCCCAAATTCAGGTAAGTAACAGCCAACATATCTTCCTGCGTCCAGAGGAGAAGCCAGCATTTCATGAATTCAATTAAGCAGCAAATGACATAAATATTGCTGAGTCTCAAGTGCCAGAGGCCCAGTGCACAGTCAGTTTTCAGGCTTTGTAAACAGCAGCAGCTGCTACAGCCAAAAAACCCCGGAGTGTTCAGTGGCCACATCATCCCACAGCTCAGATTTCTTTTGAAAGGTGGATGCACATAATGCTGCTCTTTTCTAGCCTTGCTCAGCTCCAGTAGAAAATATTACACTAGTTTTGCTGTTGTAAAGGCACAGAATTAGAGCAGCACTGCATGTCTTTGACAAGCTGCACTTTCCATCTCTTCAGCAGCCAAATTTTGGCCAGAGTTGAGGGGCCATAGAGGGGCCAGAGTTGAGGGGCCATAGAGGCAGGGGAAATGGAGAAACTGAAAAGGGGAAATTGTCCCAGCACCCCTTACTTGCATGTCCCTGGTACCTCTGGTCCCACAGAGATCTTCCGCTGGGCCATCTCTAATAGAAGCAGTGCATGGAGCTACATGTATTTCATATAAGAGAAATAATTAACAAAAAATGGGTTGATGATTGAAGAACTTCTTGTACAGTAAAGAGCATCCTGGTAGCCAGAAGAGAAAAACAGGATAAGAAATGGTAAAGTATCAAGATTTTATTGTTTTATATATATACTTATAATTCTTAAATGAGACAGTATTTTTTTAAAACAGCAGCAAGCAGAACGTACAAGTTGAGAAAAGTGGCAGCGCAGGTAACTCTGTTTGGCTAATGCCCGTTCATGTACAAGGCGTACATTGGATTTTTGTCTTTTGAGCACCTTTTGTGGTTATTTTTTCTTGGTTTAAGTGTACAGTAAGGCAGTGGTTTTTTCAATAAGTAATATATATATATATTTATATTTATATATATTTTCAGTCATCACCGTGAATTCTTCGTACATGCAAATTCAATAAAATGTACAACTCGGAAATGTTACACCGGGAGACATTCTTCCTCAGAGCAAAGCTTCTAATAAAAGGCAAATACAGACACCACAAAGTTATAAAAGAGAAGGAAGGCATAGGAAACCAAGAGTCAGGTGCTACTGACAGGACAGCTTGAGCAGGGAAGGTTGGGATTCCAGTGAAGATTCCTCCTGCCGCTGGCAAGGCAGGAAGGAATGGATGGTTATTAACAGATGTCTCCAGCCAACTCCTCAGGAAGGTTCACTCTAACCTGAGAAGCTCCACATCAAAGAGGAGCGTGGCATTGGGAGGTATGACCCCAGGGTGGCCTGTGGCTCCATAGGCCATCTCAGGTGTGCAGGTCAACTTTGCTCTCTGTCCTAAGCTCATCTGCGTTTTGGACGTTGGAGAAAGGAAAAGAGAACACACAAAACAGGATTAGGAGGAAAACAAAACAAAACAAAAAATCATTACCTGGCAGATTTACAGAATCAAGGAGTGTTGGGATCACCAGATTCATAGAATTGTTTAGTTTGGAAAAGACTTTTAAGGTTATTGAGTCTGGAGCTTGGAAGGAGAAGATCTTTGAGGTCCCTTCCAACCCAAGCCACTCTATGATTCTGAATCCAAGTGGTTTTACTTCAAGCTGAAGCTGCCACAAACAGCTTACACATGGGCATGGGCCTCCTCAATGATCTGCCCTCTCACAGCAGTTACTTAAACTGCCAGAACCAGCCTGGAAGTGACAAGAAGTCTTTTTAACACAATGGTCCATCCTGCCTATGCTGGAACAGGCTGCAGGAGGTCTCAGCTCCTCCTGCAGAGCACAGGGTACAAGGAACACCATCAGCAGGCACTGGGAAAAGGCCCTCAAAGCTCTCCATTCATGAGAGATCAGTGCCCAACACAGCCAGGTTCAGCACTTATTTCCTTAAAGTCAGACCAAGCCCCAGGGCAGACAACTCACTTATGCTACTTATCCAGGCAGAGAGCCCTTGCCTCTGGATGGGCAGGAATCCTAATTTCCCTCACTCCAAGCTGGCTCTGAAGGGAACTGCTCACTGAGATCTGGAATTATCTTTTGAATATTTTGGAACATTTTCAAACTGCTGTTCATGCACCACACACTGGTGATGGAATATTCACTGGCCAAGAAACATCCCCTGATCTGAAGCAGTGATTTTAACTCAGACCTCTCTCCCAAGGTTGAGCACATCACTGGACTACAAATTATGTGATACCTCCTGGTTGAGAATATTTTCAGGTTCTATAAAATATACAAAGCTGGAGAGTCAATTACTTTGGGTAGAAGAAAAATGTGGATATGAACTTTCCCACATTCGAGGAGTACTCAGGGCATGGGGCCGAGGATGTCCAGGCTGATGACTCCCCTGGTCCCCACAGAGATTTTGTATGGGGCTGGCTGTGCAGTGCTTGGATGTGTCCCTGCAAAGTAGGTAGCTGGTAGGTCATGCC